CAGGGCCAGCCTAACCCTGCCAGGGCCAGCTCCAGCAATGCCAGGGCCAGCAGTGCCCAGGGCGTCCCCAGGGCCACCTCCTGAGCCCTCCAGAGTCACCAGGGCCAGCTCCTGAGCCCTCCAGAGTCACCAGGGCCAGCAGTGCCCAGGCTGTCCCCAGGGCCACCTCCTGAACCCTCCAGGGTCACCAGGGCCAGCCTAACCCTGCCAGGGCCAGCTCCAGCAATGCCAGGGCCAGCAGTGCCCAGGGTGTCCCCAGGGCCACCTCCTGAACCCTCCAGGGTCCCCAGGTCCAGCCCTAACCCTGCCCCATGTCCCCAGGGCCACCTCCCCAGGTCCAGCCCCAGCTCTGCCAAGGTCAGCAGTGCCCAAGGTGTCCCCATGGCTCCTGAATCCTCCAGGGTCCCCAGGGCCACCTCCTGAGCCCTGCCAGGGCCAGCAGTGCCCTGTGTGTCCCCAAGGTCACCTCCCCAAGGCTCCTGAGCCCTGCAGGGTCCCCAGGTCCAGCCCCAGCCCTGCCAGGGCCAGCAGTGCCCCATGTCCCCAGGGCCAGCAGTGTCCTGTGTGTCCCCAAGGCCACCTTCCCATGGCTCCTGAACCCTGCAGGGCTGGGCACTCCAGCTGTGCCCTGGGCAGCCTGGCCAGGGCTCTGTTCCCTTGGTTTTGGGTGGGAAATGTTCCCTGAGATCCCATCCAAGCCTCCCCTGCTGAAACTCGAGGTTGTTTCCTCCAGCAGCCTGGGATGCTGCTCCTGACAGCAAAACTTGGGTTTTGTGCTGCTGAGAGCAGAAAAGGAAAAACCCCTCGTGTTTCTGCAGCTTCTGGGGATTTTCTCATCCACTGGAGCTTCTCTGCCCTGCCAGGCAGGGTCAGGAGGGAATCACTGCAGAGGGGAGGATCTGAGCTGCCCCTGAGCCATGGAACAGCCCTGGTGCAGCTGCCCCTGCCCTGCCCTGCTCACTGCCCCGGTGTCTCCTTTCCCTGCAGGTCTGACACTGCTCCCTTTGCATATTGGATTTTCCTTTTCTTTATTGGAGGGAGGGGCAGAGGGTCGGGACAGTTTTATGGCTGCTGTATTGATCAGTAAAATTTAATATAATCCCTGCACTTACTGCCTGATCGTTAAGGGGATGGAGAGCTGGTGGAATGTGTTCTAAAAGAAATGTTTTTCCATTTTATTTCCTTCCTATTTCACTTTCTGGGTCTCTCTTCTCTTCCAGTCCCCTACTTTGCATTCCTGCAGAGATTTTTGAGTGTGTGTTTTCCCAGCTTTGCTTTGATTTGATGGAGTATTAGGGAAAGTTCCCCACTCTGGTGTGGTGCTGGGTCTGTTCCCCGTTCCCTCAGCTCTCCTGCACTTTCTGGACCTGTGGAATTTTGTCCCTGCTGGTTTGGGGCTCCCTGAGGTTCTGTCCCAGCTCTCTCTGGAGCTCCTGAGGCTGCAGGGCCAGGTGGGCTCTGCTGTCTGCTCCATTCCTGGGCAGCCCGGAGCTGCCAGCCCAGTGAGGCCTGGAGTAGGGCAAGGGGAGCCTGAGCTCCAAAATTGCACCAACAGCTCAATCTGGAGCTCCACATTTACACCAACAGCTCATTCTGGAGCAGGGCAGGGACAGCCTGAGTTCCACATTTACACCAACAGCTCACTCTGGAGCAGAGCAGGGACAGCCTGAGTTCCACATTTACACCAACAGCTCACTCTGGAGCAGGGCAGGGACAGCCTGAGCTCCACATTCACACCAACATCTCACTCTGGAGCAGCCCTTGGGAGCTGCAGCAGGCTGGAACTCCTCTCTGCAGGGCACTGCCCTTCTCCTGGCTGGCATCTCTCTGCAGTGAGCCTGGGGCTCGGGCAGGGCACAGCTGGCAGTGCCAGCAGACCCTGCCAGGCTCCTTCAGCCTCACCCGTGAGGAGGATGGGGCACTGGGGGCAGCCCCTGCCCCGTCACCTCCTCTCTCTGGGCAGAGGGAGCTGCAGGAAGGGAAGGGCAGCCCCTGGTGGGAGTGATTTCCATCCTGCCCGAGCTGTCTCCTTGCCCCGTGCAGTCTGTGAGCAGAGCCTGCGGGCGCCTGGCTGCCTGTGCTCTGCAGAGCCCTGACACTGATTTATCCTCTGCTTAATTGTCTCCAGCCATTAGTCTGCTCATCCCTCTGCTCCTTAGACATGCACTCGCTGCTAATGGCTGCAGATGAAGCACATTTGGGAGGCGTTGCTGCCAGCCTGGCTCTGGCTGGGCAGGCTCTGGGGTGGCTGTGACCCTCGGGGACATCTGGCAGCACCTCTGTGCCCACTGGGGCTCACAGGCCAGCAGCCAAGGGGCTGGGGTGGACAGTGGGACTGGGTTCTGCCTGGCTCCAGGGGTAAACTGAGGCTGGACTGTGCCTGTGGCTCCTTGCTAATGCACCTTTAGACACCATTGAGGTTTTTATTGGGCTGGGAGGGACTGGGATGGACAATGGGACTGGGTTCTGCCTGGCTCCATGGGTAAACTGAGGCTGGAGTGTGCTGGTGCTTGGATTTGCCTGTGCTTGGATATGTGCCTCCCTGAGCTTGGATTTGCTAATGCACCTGTGCACACCAGGATGGTTTTTATTGGACTGGGATGGAGAATGGGACTGGGTTCTGCCTGGCTCCATGGGTAAACTGAGGCTGGGAGGGACTGGGATGGACAATGGGACTGGGTTCTGCCTGGCTCCATGGGTAAACTGAGGCTGGGAGGGACTGGGATGGTCAATGGGACTGGGTTCTGCCTGGCTCCATGGGTAAACTGAGGCTGGGCTGTGCCTGTGGCCCCCTGAGCCTGGATTTGCTGGTGCACCTGTGCACACCCCGATGGTTTTTATTTCAAACCATGGACAATCTCCTGACAGCAAGAGGTTCTGGGGCAAGGAGAGCAGTGCTGCTGGTGCTGGTGGGGATGATTCCCTGTCCTGGGTTCTGTTTTCCCTGGCTCCATCCCGGTGTCCTGCCCTCTCTGGGTTCTGAGGAGCTGCTCCAGAGAGAGGGGGCTGCATTTTCCTGCTGGGTAAAACAATCCCTCCCAGCAGCTGGAGGTGTTTACCCACCAGCCCGCTCGGGGCTCCGCTGGGATGCGAGGCAGTGTGCAAATGCAAAGATGTAATTATCCCATTTTTCTCTTCCCACTCCCTGCTCTCCTGGCTCCTCTCCTCCGCCCTTTCCGGGCCTTGTGCTGATGGCAGCGTTTATCTGCATTTGTCCTCTGTCCCTGACAGCCACTTATTGATTGGCATGATTAAAAAGAACTGATAATCACTTCACATTAATCCCATAAATGACTTAAGACACCAAAATATTTGCATAATGCATCTTAAAGGTGGCAGCTAAAAGAGGATAAGACCCAAAACTGCTTGGCACAGGAGAAATGGGCTTCCCACTCACCTGTGGGCTTGCTTAAGTAATGAGCCTCGTGCTTGCATAAGGAGCACTCTGAACTGCTCTGGGGGGAGGTGGGAGGGTGCTCAGGGGATTTGGGAGCCCAGCATCCCTTCTCCTGCTGATCCCCCCGAGGGACGGGGGATCCTGGAGGGAATCAGGGGCTGTTTGTGTCTGCAGCCTCCCCTGGAAATCTGCAGCCAGACGCCCGCTGAAAGTACCTAAAGACTTTCTGTCCTGGGCTGATCAGCTTAGCAGCAGCTAGACACGGATTAGCTCCATCCCTGCTGCAGCCCGGGCTGGGCTGGCAGCCCCGGGAGCTGCACCGGGGGATATTTAAGGCAGATCAGTGCTGGGTAATTCTGCAGATAATGCACCCTCCGGGCTGCTCTGCCGGGCCCAGGTGAGGACACCCCCGGGTGGGAGCAGGGAGGGAGCTGTGGCTGGGCAGGGAGGGCCGTGTTCCTCATTTGTTCCTCATTTATTCCTCATTTATTCCTCGTTTCTGTCGTTTCTGCCAAGTGTCTCTGGCTCTCCTGGCTGTCATCTTCCCTTCAGAGACAGGGCAGGAGAAGTTGTCCTGTTCAGCTGAGGGTGAGCCCCTGGTGCTGGCAGGATGGGGAGCTCAGCATCTCCTGCAAACAAACCAAAGGGAGATGTTCCAGCACCACCAGCTCCTGCCACCTTCTTCTTCCTCCTCACTCCTTGTAGATCCTTTACTCAGGAATATTTTGCAACTGGAGAGTGGTTTGCCAGCAAAAGAATTCACCACTGAGCTGCAGTATCTGCTACAGTGAATTGGTTGTTGTGTTCTTCCTTTCCATAGAAGGAAAAAAAAAATAGAAAAAAAATGACTAACCCAACCTAGTTAGCAGCAGTGTGATGCAAGGAGAGCAGGCAAAATAATGCTGCATTGCTCTAACACAGTCTCTTTTCCCAGAAGGAAGAGCATTGTTTCAGGATCTGTTGGAGGGGGAGTTGAAAATGGGTTTTGTAAATAGATCTGTCCCCCCAGCTCTGGGGAACGCTGCTGCCCGGGCTCGTGGTGGGTTTCCCTCTGAGGAGAGAAACCATCATTCAACCAAACCAAACAGCCTTTTGTCCCAGCACTGATGGAATGGAAAAACTTAGGTTTTTAAGAATAGAAGGGTGGCAGCTGATAGAAAACTATCAGTTATTTCAGTTCAAGTTTCCTATTCATTCTGGAGCAGCTCTGCCAATTCCTCCGCTTTCAGTTTTTCCATCCTCGATGTGAGTCCTGGCCCACGCAAGTTCTATCTGGCAGGGCTGGGATCAGAAATCAGCAGCTCTGGCAGCTGCAGGGCCCTTGATGGGAAATGAGAGGGGAGTTTGGGAAGGGCTTTGAAATCCCCAAAAATCCAGGAGAGGTTAGGGAGGGAGAGAGGGAGGGAGAGAGGGAGGAAAGGAGAGACAGGGAGGGAGGGAGGGAGGGAAGGGGCAATCCTGCAATCCAGCAGTGCTGGAGCACACAAAAACCTCTCCCAGCTGTGCTCGCATGGGGGGAAGAAATCAATTCTGGGGGACAGGTACTTCAGGTACTTTGAGTGGTGGGATTTCCTTAACGTGGGCTTTCTGTGCTCTGCTGCAGCCGCGACACCGACCTGTCCAGCATCATCTCCAGCCTGCAGCAGGGCCGCCAGCTCGGCATGCCAGAGAGCCAGAGCCGCTGTGAGCTCAAGAGGAACCCCCTGGACGTGGGGCTGGCAGCAGCAGGTGAGGGCTGGGGCACCTCTGCTGCCCTGGGCTCGTGGTTTCCCTCCCCTCCTCTCCCTCTCGCCTGTGCTGGTGTTCGCAGGGGTCTCAGGATGAGGGAAGAGATCCTGACTCCCTGTTTCAGAAGGCTGATTTATTATTTTATTATTTATATTTTATGGTATATATTATATCAAAAGAAAATGATATATTAAAACTGTACTAAAAGAATAGAAGAAAGGATTTCATCAGAAGGAAAGAAGTGGAATGATAACAAAAGCTCGTGACTCTCAGAGAGTCCGAGACAGCTGGGCTGTGATTGGCCATTAATTAGAAACAACCACATGAGCCCAATCCCAGATCCACCTGTTGCATTCCACAGCAGCATATAATCATTGTTTACATTTTGTTCCTGAGGCCTCTCAGCTTCTCAGGAGAAAAAATCCTAGCAAAAGAGTTTTTCATAAAATATCATGGCTGCACTCGTTCCCTGGTCCCTTTGCTGTCCTGTTGGATTTTTCTGTGTTGCATTTCAGCTGGAGGAAATCCTGCGGTGCTGTGGCTAAAGATGAAGGTGGGAAGGGTGGCTAAAGAAGGTGGGAAGGATTTTGTGGTGCTGGTGAAGCCCTCTGGAGGTCCCCAAACCCAGTGGGCTGTGTTAAAGGAGCTTGTGGCAGCACAGCACTGCAGCATCCCCAGGGCTGCTGCCAAGTGAGGCAGAAAGGCCTTGCACAGAGCATGATTGGATTTGTAATTTCATTAATCTGAGGTTCCCCACGCTGCTGCAGGGCCTGCCAGCTCTCTGGGAGCGGGGTGGTTTGGGTTTCTGGGCAGGTTTTGGGCTGTTCCCCTGGTTTCAGCTCCTGGGGGATCCTGCCCTGGGCTCAGGGAGGGGGTCTGGGGAAGGGTGGTCTGGTGGTGCAGAAGTCCACAAGTGAGAGTCTGGGATAAATAAACCAACATCTGCTTGTTGATTGCAGGAGCCGTCAGTTGGAAATGGAAGTTGAGGAAAAATTGGGGTTTCTGTCAGTTTTTATAGTGTTTTATTCAGTTTAATACCTGCCCTTTCAAATCAGAGCTGGATCTCTCTGTGTGCTGTTTTAGGCCTTCTCAGAAAATCTGTCTGGTTGTGTTCATGTGTTTTGTCAGTCATTCTGCTGAGTGTGTGAGTGAACCCCAAATGCAGAGGGAGCCCCACACCTGAATTTCTTTGGGGGGTGAAAACTTCAATCACACCTTCAGGATGGACTCAGGAGGGGTTTGTGGTGTGTGTGTGTAAATCAGCCATGGCAGCTCCCAGACTTTGCTTTCACAGCTGAATCTCCAACCTCATCATTAACAATTTCCCAAAGCCCCTTTCCCTGCACAGCTCCAAAGGCCAGCCTGGCCATAAATCCATTTTTCCCTGTGACCCTGCTGGAGTCTGCGTGGCTCAGCTGACCCTGGGTGTCAGAATGGGTTTCAGTCTTGTTTGCTTTGCAGAGAAACTGCTGGGCTTGATCAGCATTGCTGGAATTCTCTGGGACCTGTGGCATTCCAGAAATGCAAAGGGTTCTTCTCATTCCCACCAGGAGAAAAGATGAGGTGGAGGAGCACTGATTCCTCTTTCTTAATTGGTGTTTGAGCTGCTCTGGTTTGTTTCTTAAATTAGGAAACTGTAAGAAATGGCCTCAAGTTGTGCCAGCAGAGGCACAATATTAGGAGCAACTATTAGGAACAATATTATCAATATTAGGAGCAACTATTAGGAACAATATTATCAATATTAGGAGCAACTATTAGAAACAATATTATCAATATTAGGAGCAACTATTAGGAGCAATATTATCAATATTAGGGACAATTATTAGGAACAATATTATCAATATTAGGGACAATTATTAGGAACAATATTATCAATATTAGGAGCAACTATTAGGAACAATAATATCAATATTGGGAGCAATTATTAGGAACAATATTGTCAATATTAGGGACAATTATTAGGAACAATATTATCAATATTAGGAGCAACTATTAGGAACAATATTATCAATATTAGGAGCAATTATTAGGAACAATATGATCAATATTAGGAACAATTTCCTGGGGGAAGAGGCTGCCCAGGGCAGTGGTGGAGTCACCGCCCTGGAGGTGTCCAGGTCACCTGGGGATATGGGTTGGTTAATGGTTAAGGCTGGTTGGTTAAGGCTGGGTTAATGCTTGGCCTGGGTGGTCCTGGAGATCGTTTCCAACCTTTCTGATCCTGTGAAATATTCATGAGAGAAAAAGAAGAGGCTGAGGCACACAGGAGGCCACCAAGCCAGTGACAAGGAATGACAGGTTTGGGGTGTTTAGAAAAGTCAGGAGGGCACAGGAGGTGTCTGAGGGGACAGGGGGGGCTTTGTCACTTTGTCACCTCTGCCCAGGTTTCCTCTGGGCTTTGGGCCCAGCACTGCTGGGGCTGGTTTTGCTGGGAGGGGAGCTGGGCAATCATGAATTTATACAGAATTTTCAGAGGTTGCTGTTGTTGAAACCGTTTTGTTCCAGCAAGAAGGGGAGAGGAACTTTGCCCCCAGCTGCCTGCGCTGTGCATTGGGTTATGAGAATCTCCCCCTCCTGAAGGCACCTGCACACAAACAATGCTGAATAAATGATGCTGGGGCCACCAGGTTCAAAAAGTCCTGGCTGGGAGCTGCAGGGCTCTGCTCTGAAATGTTCCTGTGCTGGTTTATGGGTGGGATTTGGTGCCAGGGAGGGCAGGGGGGCTCTCTGGGGGCTCCTGTGTGCTCAGAGTGCTGCTGGAACAGGACTCAGCCCCAGGGCGGGATTGGGAACAAGGAGAGCACAAATGGCACAGATTTGCTCGTTGCCAGTCCGTGGGGGCAGCAGAAAGGCTGAAGCTGGCAGGGCTGGCTGGTTTGTGATTAATTCTGGGAGGGAATTCCTTCTCTTGTTGTTACAACCAGGATTAGAGGCAGTGCTGTAGTTCAGACAGCATGGGCTGGGAAATCAGCAATATCGCTGGATCTGAATGGTCTTTGAAATGCAGAAAGGGGCTGGGATGAGTGAAAAATCATTGTGTGTGGTTCTGGGGCTTTTCTGACTTCAGGAAGGCAGGAAGGGGCTCAGGGCAGAGCTGCCTGGGGCAGGGGTGAGGTTGGTTCCCCTTGGCACTGCCAGCCTGCACAGGGGGCAGGCAGAAAAGCAGATTTGGTGATTCCCCAAGCCCCCAGAGCAGTTTCCCTACGAACCAGGGCTGGTCTCTCCTTGGCTGACCCTGCTGTCCCTCCTGCCCTGCTGGTTCTGCAGCGGGGAGTGCTCTCCTTGGTGCTAATTGCACTGCAGTGGGGATGGGAGGGAAGGAGGAGAGGAAAGGTGCATGGAATGGGCTCTGTGCTTCCCTGAGGGTCTCCAAGTGCCTCCCCCAGTGCTCTGCACGCTGCTTTAGGGCCTGAGCCAGCGCTTGGCACCTGCTCCCCAGGCTCTAATTCACCCCTGTCCTGCACAAAAATCCTGTTAATTTCTCCTCTTTCTCTCCTCAAACACCCTCTGTTCTGCAGTGCCAGATTTCATGGGTTTCCAGTGGCAGTAGGACTATTTGCATGGATAGAAGTGGAGGATTCAGGCTCCCTCATGCTAGAGGAAGGTGGGTAGCTCTTCCCTCTCCTCCTTCTGCCCCTCGTGCCTCAGGGACCTGCTGTGCTGGCTGGAGGTGCTCTGAGAGGGCACAGAGGGGAGACAGAGCCTCAGTCCTGCCCCAGGCAGGGAGGAATTCACTGCAGAGAGTGCCTGGGGCTGCGCTGCCCTGGCTGAGGGGGAAAGCAGCAGCAGCAGGGCAGCTGCTGTGGGGCACAGCTCCAGAGAGGCTTTGCAGGGGTTTTGGTCAGTGCCATGGGAGTGACAAACCCTGAGAGGCTTTTCCAGGGGTTTTTGGTCACTGTGATGGGAGTGACAAACCCTGAGAGGCTTTTCCAGGGGGTTTTGGTCACTGTGATAGGAGTGACAAACCCTGAGAGGCTTTTCCAGGGGGTTTTGGTCAGTGCCATGGGAGAGACAAGCCTGAGAGCCTTGCTGAGCTCCAGAGAGGCTTTTCCAGGTGCTCCTGTGTTCCTGGTGCTTTTGCAACCCTGGAGGAACAGAGTTCACCCCTAAGTCTCAAAAACACCACAGAGCTGAGCTATGTCCCTGTGAGAGGATTTATTCTGTGCTCACCCTCTTGCCCCATCTTTCCCTGTTGGCCAAGCAAGGGAGGAGGAGGAACTTTGGGCTGTAAAGAGATTCAGAAGTGAGAATTTGGGGTTTTTATTTGCAGTGTGGATGCACAGCTGGCTGCTCAGGCCTAACCCTGGGCTCTGTGTCCCTGCCATGGCCTTGCAGTGACCTGGTTTGCCTCTGCACTGAGCCCCAGAGCTTTCATATGCTAAGGAGGAGTTAATATTGGGGATGAAAAGGAATTGGGATCAGGGATGTTGCTGCTAATGGTTGGAGACAGGATCCCAGCACAGGGCTGGGGTAATGAGCTGGGCTGCAGACATGTTTTCATTTAGCTGAGCCAAACAACGGGGAAAAAAAGCAGCAGCCTTTATTGGACTGCTGCCTTAAATTGAGCAGAAAATCAGCACCAAATGGGCAGCCAGGAGCTGGAAGGCCAGGCCCTGTTGTTGACATGTTTTCCCCTGAAGGACAATTGTTCACCTTGGCAGCCTGAGGGCCCAGGCTCTGCCCCTGCTCTGCATCCCCTGCTCTGCATCCCCTGCCCTTGGAGCTGGAGCACTGTCCCCTCTGTGGGCTCTGCTCCCCCCTCTGTGGGCTCTGCTCCCCTCTCTGTGGGCTCCGCTCCCCTCTCTGTGGGCTCCGCTCCCCTCTGTGGGCTCTGCTCCCCTCTCTGGGCTCTGCTCCCCTCTGTGGGCTCCGCTCCCCTCTCTGTGGGCTCCGCTCCCCTCTGTGGGCTCTGCTCCCCTCTCTGTGGGCTCTGCTCCCCTCTGTGGGCTCCGCTCCCCTCTCTGTGGGCTCCGTTCCCCTCTCTGTGGGCTCTGCTC